ACAGTGTAACCTGAGTTGCTCTACATCAACAAAAGGCACCATTTCTCTAATAAAAAATACACCCATGAACAAAGGAAGAACATATGAATGAAAATGAACATGGAAAAACCTGATTATGCAGTCTTTGAAGGGCAGACTACCCTAATTGGGAAAATCCAGACTCATTTCCCACCTTATGTGGCAGGCTTGGGGCCTACCCAGGCAGAGCTGGTGGTTTGAGGCTGAAACAAAGTTCACTTGGCCCTGAATTAATTTTGATAAACCAATTTTTTGGATGGCTAGAAGATAACAATGATAATAACAAAACCCTGTCACTTCCCAAATGCCAAACCTGTCAAAGATATTTTGTCAAATAATGTTAATACAGCTCTCCTTCCTTCATTTCCTTTCATTCAACACCTAATCAACATGGATAGTAATAGAAATTACCTTTGTGTCTCCTCTCAGGATAAGTTAGAGGCAAGAATGAAAGCTAACAGTAACTAATAGACTCTTTATGGAAAGCCTTCTTCAATGGGGTCTATGGATTTCAGGAGGCATCTAAATCCCCTGAATTTATAGGTAAAAGTATGTGTATCTGCATATTTTTCTGGGAAAATGGTATAGGACTTTGATTTACGTTTTCAATGGCATCCCTAATACAAAAAGTCTGAAACACTATAGTATGTAGCCCATCTTCTGAGCATGCCTTTCTCATACAGCCTTTGGGGGTAAAATGATAAGTACTGTTTTTTGAGGAAGAGAAAATTATATTGAGCTGTGAAGTCTTTATTCAAACTGACTAAAATTGTGGGCCTTGAGAGATGGGTATAATTAGGGTCAGTGGAGAGAAGGGGGAGGGCATTGCAGGAGAGGGAATGTCATGAGCAGAGGCACAGAGGTGAGGGTATATGGGTCATGTTAGGCAATGACAAATGGATCAACATGGCTGGACTGGAAGGCTCCAATGGAGGAGCTGTGAGAGACAGGTCAATAAAGAGAAAACATCAGGCCCTAAGGAGTGGTTGTCATCCTGAGACAATGTGGCAGCCCAAAGATTAATCCAGTGGCAATGGGTGGGATGAATCAAAGGGGTGACCAAGCAGGTAGAGGCTATTGCAGAAGTCTGGGCAAATGAGGATGGCCTGAAGTCAAGGTGCCATGTCTGTTCTGTTCACCACTCTCTCCCAAGTGTGTACCACAGGTAGGTGCTCAGTAAATATGCAGTGACTGAGTGAGTATGGGTTCTTTAAAAATATAAATTAAAAAGAATGATGAGTTCTTGTGATTTGGATATTCATCTTTGTATCATTCAAAGAGCCTAGCAGTGCCTTGTGCAGAAAAGTTCTCTTAAATTGGCCAAGACGGGGATGAATAGACGTGAGGGAAGGAAGATTCCAAGCACTGAGAGAGGCTGGGGATGCGCTTGTTCCACGAACATACAGTGACTTCCCAAAGAGTATTAGTTTTAAAAGGAAACCAAGTGAAGGTGGTGTAGTGCAAAGAACTAGCCTAGGGCAAGATGAAAGACCTGTTTCAGGTCCTGCCTTTCAAATAATTATGTATGTCACAATGAACCAGTAACAACCCCTAGAGTTCTCCTGTTAGAGCTTCTCCATGGCCTGGCTATCCATTTATATGATTCTAGTTTTTCAAACAAATTTATGCAACTGTTCGTCAATTTGGAGAATGTATAAGGAGTTCTGGTAGCATAGTGCCTAAGGCACTTGACTGCTAACCAGAAGGCTGGCGGTTCAAACCCACCAGCCACTCCTCGGAAGGAAGGTTGGGCAATCTACTTCTGTAGTGATATCGCCTCGGAAACCCAAGGAGGGGTCGTTATGAGTCAGGGTTGACTCGACAGCACATAACAACAACAACATACTAGCTGGGTAGAATAAGAATGAAGCAAAGTTAAAACCCTCACAATAAAGACTGCATAGTAATAATTGCCTAAATTATTTTGTTTTCATAACCCATCTCAGGAAAGTAAAACCTGGGTATATTCTAGAATTCCAAATCAAGTTTACATCTACAAAAATGTTGAGAATTCAGCATACCCTGTCAGTACCTATGAAGCTAAAACCTTAGTACTTCCTTTCCTTGAACACTACTTCACAAAAACATACCTTAAGTATACACAGGCAGGCTCACTTGAGTATTACATTGCCATTATGATTCAAGTCCAAGTCTGTGATCAGTCTTAAACCCTTAGCAGTGCTACTGTTTACAATGCATTATGGTACAAAAACAAAAATGGTAAGCTCTGACAATATAGTTTATTTCTGTACACATTTGTATTGTTCCCTATTTCTACTCTAAAGGTTCAAAGCAAAGCACACAGTTTCCTCTCATTAATCCTGATGAGTTGGGGGTAAAAGACAAAGGGAGGTGGAAGATGGGCAGAACTTATTCTTACAATTAGAAGTAAATAAGAACAGGTGGCCATGAGTCTCTGTCCAACTAAAAGCATCTGTTAACATAGAAGATCACACTTCCGAAAGTTACTTTCCAGCAAAAAAGAAACACAGAACTGAGTAAGTAAACCAGCTGGTCAAAATGGCCCCTGATTTCTTGTTGCTGTTTTCCTTGTAAGTAGCAGCTATTTATCAGACTGAAGAATACTTTAAATGTGGGTAGCTTAAGAATGAAGCACAGAAAATGAACACTCTCACAATAAAGGCTGTGTAAGTCACCCATACCACAGTGATTATTTATCACAGTCATTTTGCTTTCATAACCCACCTTGAGAAAGTAAAACCTGAGTACCTATATTCCAGTGTTCCAAATCAAATTTTATATCTACAAAATATGGAATATTCCCCACAAACTGTCAAGTGAGTACCCAAGACGCCAGATGGCAGCCATTCAAGCTCCTATGGATGTACCCGGATGGAATGAATTATGCCATTCAAGCTCCTGTGGAGGTGCCTGGATGGAATGTTCTATAGCTTCACTTTGAACCCTGGTTCTCCACATTCTTGTCCTCTAAGTCATGCACTCTGCTAGCAATCACTAAAAAAAAAGTATGTAAACCTAAACCCTCATAATCTAATTATTCTTAGAGTAAAAATACATTATATTTAATGCTATGCTGTAGGGAAAAAATTGTGGGCAAAATTTCAAATATTTCTCTTCCTAGCCTAGGGTGGGGAAAGGGCAACTCAGTTTTTGTGCAGACAAGTCCACAGTCTGCCTGTTTATCACATTCACGTTTTCAGGCCAAGACTGTCCTAGTCACAAAGAACTGCCACTAGCTGGCCTTAGAACCACTTGCTAGAAAGGAAGCAAACAGTTCCTCCATACAACTCTTAAGAATTAAAACAGGCTTCTATTCATATCTTCTCCATCACATCTCTTTAGAAATCAGAATCCTCTCAAATATGAATGGTTTAAATACAATATAAACAACTACATTTTCTGTGGAATAAGAAGTTCTAATCTAGGGTGTCTTAACATTGACTGCCAGTTACATACACTCCACACAGTTGCTTAGTTGGTGCCAACATACTAGAAAACAGCCTCAAAAAACTCTCCCATTTTACCTCTTTGTGAATCCACAGCAGTCTTTTAGGACTGGTTTGCAAAAACTATATTCCAGGAGGGGCTTTTTCACAGGGAGGCAGCTTGGGGGGCAGGAGTGCCTGGGAGGGAAGGACAAAGGGAAGAGGTAACTATGGGGAGGAAGTGGGAGAGGAACTGTTACACTGTGGTAAAGTGCAGTCAATGTCATGAGACAAAGTATATGTGAGCTGCTGTATGGAAAGTGAATTTGCTCTGTAAACTTTCACCCAAATCACAATTGAAAAAAAAGAGAGAGAGAGCCTTTTTCAAGTAGAAGGACATGAGCTTCTCAGAAGACCTCTTTTAAGAAGTTTTCTTTAACCTCGTAATGAGTCATCCTTACCCAGTCAGTCAGTGGTGGTCAGAAGTAAAGCAGTTTCGTTTGTAGTCATAAATCATAACATTGGCTCTCCTAGCCCAAACCCATGGCCATCACCCAGTCTCTTTGCCCCATACTTCCCTGAAAAATGTTTTAAACCAACATCTTTAGAGATAGAGTGCCTTACCAAACACAGTAACCCCAAAAGTTCATGTGATCTATGGGGAGGGAGAAGAAGGGCGGGAAGGGAATGAATGATCCTTAAGAAACATTAAGATTTGTCTTCAACTGCTGCCCTCCTCTCACTGCGCAATGGCTGAAAACACCAGAACAGTTGCATTAGTAAAACTGCATAGAGTCTATCACTGCACAAAGTGCTTGGTACAAGTAACATGATCCTCTTCCTACTTCATCTTTTCAATACATCCTGCAAAGTTTGTTTTCAAAAAGCCAATACAAGTTGGCAAGCTTCTACCTACAAAAATCAATCAAATGCATTCCCCTTCACCTCTATTAAACCCACCACATTCCTGAGCTTTATTCCAGGCAAATAAAAAAAACTTAACACTCCAGAGTCAACAGAGGACAGCATTCCAGTGTAAGTTCAGGCAATGAGAGAAAAACTTTTCTGCAAAAACAGAGTAGAAATGAAGACTGTTTACAGCTGTTGATGATTTGTACAAACATTTCCAAAGTTCTTCCAACAGAAGATTTAGATTCAGGCAAGATCACAAAAAGGAATGATGACAGAGTTCTAACTGTGCCTTTGTGTGTGTTTCCGTCTGCTTGGCTTTTGCAATCGACTGTTTGTGGCTGCTGTTGCCTGGATATGCAATTCCTTTGCCTGCAAATCTTCACACGTATGAAAGCACAACAAAGAATACAATTTTTTGTTTATGTCACACCTCTTCCAAGAGGTTTAAAGAACCTTACGAATGTTACCACATGAATCCTCACAACATCCCTGTGAGGTAGGTAGGTGAAGAGTATTGTTATCCCCACTTTACTGGTAGGGGAAATGAGGCACACAAGATTTTGGGACTTGCCCAAAATCACACAGCTAGTCACTGGCAGAGCTTAGAATAAAACTTATACTGATTAGCACCTAGCACAGTGCTTTGCACATAGTAGGTGTTCATTAAATATCTGTGAATTTTATTTGACTTATGTCTCAACATACAATATACACACATAAAGTACAAGCAGCCACCTAGAACATTTATCTCCCACATTTTTTCTGATGGTATCTCCCATTATTTCAGAGACTGGAAGATAGAAGATGTTCAAGGATCCAGTTTGCAGCTAGCCCTCAACTGGAAGAGGATCAACATCAACACTATCTGTTGGCAACCCACTCTTTTATCTGCCCTACCACACAAATCTGGTTTTCTAATGAAAACAGAAATAGATTTCAAGAACCATGCTTTTTTTTTTTTTTTTTTTGTCGTTCATTTTAAATGAAGCCATCTGAATGGTTTTGTTTGTTCTTATAAAAAAAAAGAAGAAAGGAGATAGCTATCGTCCAGTTAGCATGTGAAAACGGTGCCAAGCACAGAGATCTCTTTCCAGCTCGAATGGGTGTCTATCTGAGAAAACTGGACCACCCCAGGGAGTGGTGGCTCCATCAGCAAGGCTAGATGTCACTTGCACTGTTCATGGTCTGTGTAATCATCCATATCCACATCCGAATCAAAAAGAGAGTGTCCAGTGAAATCTGTGTCTGGGGTTCGGGAAAAACTGTTCTCTGCTCCTTCATCTTCAAAGGTCTCTGTCCTTGAGTAAAAGCTGAAATCCAGCAGGGGTGTGTGGGTTTTACTGCCTTCACTGCTCTCCTCAGATTCATAAATGGTGTTATCATCATCGTGATGCCACTCTGGCCAAAATTTCCTTCTTATCCTCTCGCAGTACATGGCAAGGTTGATCAGCTCACCTGAAAAGTGGGAAGGAAAGCAAGGGTAAGTTCTCACAGGGAACATTCCACCAGACACTTAGCTTTCTGGGAACGTAAGAAGAATGGGGTGGAGGAGAAATGAACAGTGTTTTTCCTCGATGGCAGCATTGTGGATGAGAAAGACATAGAGAGGTACATGGGAAGTGCAGACAACAAATATGAACCCTTTTGCATATACAGTACTGAGTTGTAAGTGAAGGCAAACGTGGGTATATGGATGGACAGATAGGTGGACAAGCTAAACGATTAGGTATGTCTATGAAATGGGGAGTGTATCCAAGATCATATATAGGGTTGGCAGACAATGGTCCTATAAATTTATGTGAATGATCAGAATTCCCAGGTGTATAGTAGAGCTGACAAGGGGCAAGGTTGTGGTCACTGTTTGGTCACAGCCAGCTACCCAGAGGGACCGACTAGTTGAACCTGCGGGCTTGGGACCATAGTTGCAGGGGACATCAAGCTCAATTGGCATAACATACTATAGAAAACATTGTTCCACCTCCTACTTTGGCGAGTAGCGACTGGGATCTTAAAAGCTAGCAAGCTGCCATCTAGATGCAACGATGGGTCTCTCCTCATCCAGAGCAAAGAAAAAGAAGAAAACCAAAATTAATGGAAACAATCAGTCCTAGCGACTGGTACACCAACTGATCTGCAACCTATACTATACAACTATGAGACCAGAAGAACTAGATGGTACCTGGCTACCACTGTCATCCACTTGGAAGGGATGTAGGAGATCCTGGATAGAGAAGGAGAACAATGTGGAACAAAACTCAAAATCATTTGGAGGAAAAAAAAGAAAAGAAGGTGGGGACCAGGTTTGCTGGTTCAATAGAGCCTGGTGGAACCACTGAGACTGTGGCCCCTAGCTGCCCTTCAGGTCTCAAATTGAACCCACATCTGTGGTTTCCAGCCAAACAATGTACAGGCATGTGAGTTAAACATTTACCTCAAGTAGACACACGCCCTGGAGAGAACAATCATGGGAGAAGGAAGGGCTGCTTATGCACAGGGAGACAGCTCAGGGAGCAGGAGAGTATGGAGGAATGGTCACTGGGAAGAGGTAACTATGGGGAGGAAGTGGGAGGGGAGCTATAGCATTGTGGTAAACTGTGGTCAATGACATGAGACAAAGTATATGTGAACTGCTGTATGGAAAGTGAATTTGCTCTGTAAATCTTCACCCAATCACAATAAATTAAAAAAAAAAAAATGGAAAATGGAAAAAAAAATATATGGTCAATATATTTCGATTTTTAGGCACATAATAAGAAAGGTTAGTGGGAAATATTAATGAATGGGCTGGAAAAAAACGAAAGTGAGAGCCTACAGTGAAAGTCTGGTGAGAAGTAGAAGGATAGTTCATCTACAATGGCAGTTAAGCTACCATCATTTGAATTTGAGATACATTTTACAATTTTATGTTTGTAAATCAAGATAAATAATGTTTTGATTGGTTTGTATTTAAATCAATTTATGTTGTTGTTGTTGTTGTTATGTGCCGTCAAGTCAGCCCTGACTCATAGCGACCCCTCCTTGGGTTTCCGAGGCAGTATCACTACGGAAGTAGGATTGCCCAACCTTCCTTCCGAGGAGTGGCTGGTGGGTTTGAACCGCCAGCCGTCTGGTTAGCAGGCAAGTGTCTTAGCCACTATGCTACCAGAGCTCCCAAAAAAAATCAATTTATAGCCCGTGAAAATATACCAACTGTTGGACTAAGTCAGCCAAAAGTATTTATTTATTCGTTCATTCCACAAATATTTCTAATGTGTTATTATAGATTGGGTACTATGCCAAGTAGTTGAGAGAAATTACATTAGATGAAAACTCTGCCCCAAATAATCCATGAAATGGATAACTTGGATGGATGGGTGTGCCTGCAGACACACTTAGTAAAACAGATATATAGATAGGTAGGTAGGTAGATACATAGATAGGTATGTATTTTTATAAATTAAAATTAAACAGCTATACCCACAATTGGGTTCACATATAATCAATGGACTACTTCTTTTTCACGTGAACTAAAGTAATACTTCTGCTGAATCTCAAAAATTGTTCAGGCATTTGCCTAAAACATGACCCAGTGTTTAGCTTTCTGGTCATAATTCCAAACGAAAAAGAAACAGGATCAGTTTATACCCTTGATCCACCAGATGGCAACAATGCTTATAAATATATTTTTTGTCATTACCTTTTCCAAGATTTTATCAAGTTTAATGTTATTCTTCACATATTTACATTTTTAAAGTTACATAAATATCCACTTACTATGTAAGTAATCCATGTTTTATTTCAGAGTGATATATATTGTTTCCTAACCTACTTTTTTTCCATTTAATACATGTAAACAAAATCTTTTAATTTCAATAAACACTCTCTCTCTCTCTGACCATTTTGATAATTGCACAGTATTTCTTTATATGTATGTATCATAATTTTATCTTGTTTTCAGAAATATTTATTGCAGACTAGGTTATTTAGATATTATAACTCTATTAAATATAATACATAATTTTATTTTTTCTGCTAAAGAAAATAATATATTCTTATTTTGAGAAAAATTTAGGAACTGTTTAAATACATAAAGAAGAAAGCAAAAAGCACCTAAGATCCCATCAATCCAAGACAATCACATTTCCTTATCACTTCTTTCAGTATTTTTTCTGTTGATTTTTACTTTTTTTTTTTTACCTCACTATCATTATTAAAGGAGCTCTGGTGACATAGTGCCTAAGGCATTTGACTGCTAACCAGAAGGCTGGCGGTTCAAACCCACCAGCCACTCCTTGGAAGGAAGACTGGACAATCTACTTCCATAGTAATATCGCCTCAGAAACCGAGGAAGGGGTCGCTATGAGTTAAATCTGACTCAACAACAGTGAGTTTGGTTTTGGTTTTATCGTTATTAAAAGGAGCCCTAGTGGTACAATACCTAAGGCATTTGACTGCTAACCAGAAGGCTGGTGGTTCAAATCCACTAGCTGCTCCATGGAAACAAGATGGGGCAATCTAAGTCTGTAAAGATTTACCACCTTGGAAACCCAAGAGGGATTGCTATGAGTCAGAATAGACTTGATGGCAGTAAGTTTTTTGTTTGTTTGTTTGTTTTTGTATCATTATTAAACCAAACCCAAACTCACTGCCATCTGGTTGATTCCGACTCATAGCGACCTTACAGGACAGAGTAGAACAGTCCCACCAGGTTTCCAAGGCTGTAAATCTTTACAGAAGCAGACTGCCCCATCCTTCTCCCATGGAGCAGCTGCTGAGTTCGAATCACTGGCCTTTTGGTTAGTAGCCAAATGCCGTAACCACTGCTCCACCAGAGCTCTTTCCTATCATTCTTATCACCTCATATAACATTATTATACAAATTTTCTCATGTCATTGAAATTTTCACAAACTGATTGCTGTTTTCTTTAAATGAACACATCTCCCACCTAAAACATAACAAAGCAAATTTCCTTGCTCCATGGATCCTGTAAACTACTGGAATATGCTCCAGGTCACCTTTTCCAGTCTTCTCCGATCATAACAGCTACACTCACACTATGGAAGAGTCCACTCTGACTGCTCTCTACCTGAGACATTTATGTCTCGGGCTCAGGAGCCTGAAGCAGAGAAGCCAACAGCATTGCTCCTTTTGGGAGAATGCATGTAAATTCTTCACAGTCATGAAACACCTCACCAGATACTGCTATCAAAGACAGGTAACCAAGAATCAGATAAAGATGTGAAGACAGCAACAAGAAGGAAGAAAAGGATCCAACAGGGATGAGGCATCAAAGATGAGTTACAGTCACTTCCCAGTCAAGCCTGGGGACAATCCTGTTTGCCTCAATCTACAAAATCCTGCCATCCTGCCGTGGGCTGCAGCCTTCATCCACAGTCCACCATTACTGACACATATAGCTATAGCAAACACGAATGCCAAAGGCCCTGCAAACGCCAGCTCTTGGAGGAACTGCTAAATAATGTGTTGGGGACCATTGGTGACTTCAATAATGCTCCTCCAAGAATCAAAAATCGTTTTTAAAACCTTATTCTCATCCTGTTTTCCTCTGTTTCAAGAAGTTCTGTCTCCACACTTGGCCCGGAGGAAATGAATGCAGTTCCTTGTTCACATCTCACTTGTCTGAATGCTTGGAGAAAGAGTCTGGAAGGCTGACCTCAGGTCCCTACTCTAATGCTAATGTACCATGTGACTTCTACAAATTCCTTTACCCATCTCAGCCTCCATCTCATTACTTGGAAAATGATGCAGAGAGAGACACAGAACAATAGGAGTGTGGCTCACTCGTTTCCAATGCTGGTTGCACATCAGAATCACTTGGTGAGATTTCTGAAATACCAATGCCCAGATTTCACCCACAGAGAATATGACTGAAGCAGTCTGGAATGCAGTAGGTCCTGTACTGGCTTTAAAAGCTTCACAGATGATTCTAACGCACAGCCTGGCTTGACCATCGCTGAATTAGATAATCTCTAAAATTCCCTTCAGTTCTACTACTCCTGGCATCTGTAAAATTTCAGAAGCCTTTTATTTCATCCCAGAAAGTAAGGTCAGATGACACATATATTTTCATTTGATAATCTGTAGCCAAAACAGAAGGTCTTAATTAAATCTTGAGAAAAGTGGTATGTATAAACTCACAATGACTGATTTTGCTAATCTTTTTCTCTACCTTTCACATCAGCAGATTTTATATATCACAGAATCTTCATAAAGTGGACTAACTGACTTTCAAGAAATGTACAAACTTTAAAACCTGAGGGTTTAAGAATAGTAGAAACCAATACACATAGAATTAAAAGTCAAGATAAATCTTTAGTAAAATGAACTTCAGTTTTGGTAGAATCAAGGCAGTGCTCACTCTCCTTCTATGGTGGTCATCTCTCAATGGCCATGGGCTGTGAGAGCAGAGAGTACACCACTGAGGAATGTGGCCATCGTGCACTGCAATAACTAA